ATATAAATATAAATATTTAAATGCTATTTGAATTACTGAGATTTTACTATTTTTAAAAGCATCCCCCAAAACCTTTAAAATACACAAAGGCAAAACCTCACCAAGTTGCTGTCACTACTTTCCCTCAAACTTTCTGCAATCCCACTTCCCTTAAATCTGCCACACCAACGTTTCCAACCTCAAGAGAGCCCGAGGCTGCGCGTGCCCCCCTGCACAAACACCTCTGGCTTCCCGTGCAGTGGCCAATCCTCTCCATGGCTGGATAGGGTGAGGAAACACCCACGTTCCCCTGTTAATCATCAACTCCAAAGACTTCGTAGCAGCAAGTGCTGCCCAACAGCCTCCCCATCCAGAATATTTTCCCTGTTTTTCTCACACAATAAGATGACCCTACGTTCGTTGAGGAAATATTTGGACTTTGTAGGCACAGCACAGATCCAAACCTCAACGTGGGCAGCAGTACTGCCTTCTCCTCCCCTACAGTGAAGGGCTGCCGTATCTCCTTTCCCACGTTCTGGGAGAGCAGCTCACACCTGAGGTAGACTTCTACCGACACAGCTTGTCTGACCACACTGGATGCTGTAGCTGCTCCTTGTTTGGTCTCCAGTTCCCACATACTAATCCAGCACGAAGCCGCATCCTTCCAGCGTCAGACAGATTTGGCGGAGGATCGCATCGCTCTCAGCTCTGTCCTACTCAGTTCTGTGCTGCATATTCTAACGTGATAAAATAGGACAGGCTACTGCTCCTTCCCTGTAAATTGGAGGAGTGTTTTACTCAACCCTCTTGTCTCCTACTGCTTTAAATGCCACCTTAACGTACAGCGCTTACATTCAGCGACTCTGTTTCTCCAGGTGGCAGTTACCTATTGTGCACTGACACCAGCAGCCCTGATAATAAGCTACTTAATGAACATAATTTATGAAACAATTAAACTAATTCTCAGGAATTCTAGCAAATGAAAAATGCTCAAGTTAAATTCACTTTGTACACAAGGGTATTGGAACCTCAGTTCAGTTCGGCAGCTCCTTCCTTAAGAAACGCAACAATTGCAATTAGGTTTTATGTATGTCATTTGCTTCATTTGTCACACGGCTCCAATTCCGCACCTTTCAAATGCCTTGAGCTCCCCCTCACAGTTGCACCAGAGGTGGGAAAGTTAAGAGAGAAGCTCCAGTTCATTTATATCTCTTGTTTTTATTGATCACCGGTGTGCAATTAAGAAGAGGAAAACAAAAAGAATGTAGCAGGAGACCTCTGAAAAGATCAACAGTCCCCAAGACTCATATTATTGATTTAATTAAAGCAATGAGTAAATCCTTTTAAATACTATATTTTCATACCTACTACCCGCAGGTTATCTCTACAAACAAATTCAGTAGCAGCATGAGTGATATGGGGTTTTAGGGAAAGTTTATCACATAACCCCTTCCCCACTAAACCTCTGCCTGGTGACTTCTGTCCCCGAAACCTCTTGAGTCTCACACTGCCCAGCTTACTTCAACACATATTTTCAAATACTTATGTTTTAAAGGCAAATGAGCTACCTGAGGTATGGGTTAGGGATCTGAAACACGTGGGAAGCGCCTTCATGCCTAGCTCCATATTAACTGCATCCGTTTACTACGACTTTGCAGAGGAATTCTGGCTGGGCCTGAACCAGACCTACTCCATTACCAGACAAGGGGACTACATCTTACGGATTGAGCTGCAGGATTGGAAAGACAACAAACGTTACATTGAGTATGCATTCAGCTTGGGAGGTCCGGAAACAGCCTACACTCTCCAGCTTTCACGGATCTCCGGGAGCATCCCCAACGCCCTGCCAGAGCAGACGGAACTGCGGTTCTCCACGGCAGACCATGATGTGGACGTAATAAAAGACTTCAACTGTCCAGAAAACTACCTAGGTATCAGTACGCTGGGTGTACCAACACGGGAGTTTCTTCATTACATGAAGGCCAGTCGAATGCTTTAGCGGGTAGTCACTGGTGTCAGCCTGGCTTTACATACCGCAAGGGAGGGCAGCAGCATCTTTCTGCTTGCAGGAAAGGGCAGATGTTTTTCGTTGGCAGACAGCAGGCCCCTACAACAACGAGGCATCACCTTTGTGGTTTATAGACAGGTAAAGCTGTGCGAACGACCAACGTCAGAAACAGAACTAGCAGCACATCAAATCCCGGGATGAGGTTCTGAGCTATGAAGTACAGAGCAGCTCTTCCTCTGATGCCCGTGCAGTGTGGCAGCCCTAGGTTGGGTTGGTTAATCCTCCTTGCAAACAAGAGAGAAAACAAACTGACTCTTAAGTCTATTTTGACTATAAATGCAAAGTTGAGAGTGATGGTGGGTTTCCATTCAAAGGAAGATTTTAACTGTCTGTCAAGTACACCCGCTAGAATCACCCTCAAACGAGCAAGAAAGATGCAAGACTGAAGACTTATTTCTTCTTAAGAATAGTTTTGTTAAAGGATTCCTAATTCTTTGATCTTATGAAGCTTTTATGTTTTGCCAGTTTACAGTAAAAAGCAAACAATTGAAAAAGCAATTAATGATTAAACCACAGGATACAGAATTGCCCCTGGACACTTGCTTCATGCAACAAACATTTTGTTCACCATCTGAAAATTGTTAATGCCTAAAACAATGCTGAGAGTGTTACTCAGCTCTAGTGACCACAAAGGAACACGGTGCTAAACTTTCATTTTCAGCAAAGTCGCTGCCAGTCCCTTGCAAGCACAACTGGGCCTACAATTTACAGAGACAAGCCAATAAAAGAGATAATTTGTTTACTAAATGCTCTGCAGTCTCCTGTAGACACAGACAATTAACTATTTTTACCTGAGAAAAACATCAGCAAAGCAGAAAGTCAGTTGTAGAGGGTCACAGGAAAGACGGAAGCGTGGAGCTCACAAAGTGTCCCAATTCAGTGGCAGCATTTGAGTGTGCAGTTTTCCATGCACCACTTCTTGCATGTGAAGCAGACCGTGACGGGGACCACACCATCTTTGCATGGGTCCTCAGTGGGTAAACATACAAGCACCCAGCCGCCTGGGTATACTGGGTAGCTGCCAGTTTTGCTGGAACTGGTCTGAATGGTATGGTCTAACAGGTTGGGGTTCAAAGTCACTGACTTTACAACGTTTTTCCTTAGGAGGCTGGTGGCACAGTGAGTGTGAGGAAACCAATCTTAACGGGAAATACGTCGCACCAAGGTCAAGAGGAAGACTGGACAGAAAAAAAGGCTTATACTGGAAGCCTAAGAAAGGAAGATACTACTTGCTGAAGTCAACCAAAATAATGATACACCCAACAGATTTAAAAACTTTTGACTGAATGCTCAGCCCGATGCATTTTAACCCAGCGCATGTACACGGAACATTACTACATCAGAGAAGTTCACGTTATGTTTAATAACAGATGCATGTCTAAATCGGCACACTGTATGGTGTAATCTCCAGTGACATAAACCCTCAGGCATTTGCGATGGTCTTGCAGTCTGTTTGGTGAGTATTCTCATTCCCCCTAGCCTCGATGTCAATGTGCTGTAGCTTCCGTGGAGCTTTCACCTCCCAAGGATGCCTGGGAATCGACCACCCATTCATGTAATACACGATACTGCTCGGGGAATGGGTTTTCAGGCTGTTGCACTCGTTTCTGGGTTGTGTAGCAGGGAACAGGACAAGTGTTTCAGTAAACAAAGGGCTGGCAAAACCCTATGGAAGACATTTAGGTATCAATGTATAGGGAAAAAAGAAATTTTGTTTCATAAAGTACCCACTTTGATGTTTGGTTGATGTCATTGCTGTGGAATGTTTCTGTCAGCAAATGAAAGATGGGCACTTCCCCATTTTAGGGTTCTGTGTATTTCCAGACAAATTTTCAGCGTACAGCTCAGGCCAAGCTTCACTGAAGCCCTGTACTCAGGCAGCTATCGCTGTGTATGCACATCACACCGCCACGCCACAGACCCAACCTTTCAGTACCACGCTTTGAAGAGTAACTTCAGAGCTACGCTTTCTCACTGCAAGTGAAGAGCTAAGCTTCAAGGCTTACTGAAATGAGAAAGAGGTCTCTTCCTCTCATCTGAAATGAATTCAGAGCCATGCCTTTGCGACCTTTCAGTACACCTGAGTAACTGCATGAAAGACCCAAGCGAGCACACGACAAAGCATCTTTCAAATAGAGAACAAATAGTTGCCTGTGGGAGGCAACTCCAACGGAGCCAACGGTACCACCCAGCAAGGCCTGCAGGCACAACCTGCGTGACCGTGTTGGCCCTGCTCCTGAGAACACATCCACGTTCCAACTTCGGCTGCAGAATACTACCAGGCAGAGGAACTATCGACATGCATGTGGGTGGCCGGCCGTGGAAGCGCCGACTGACAAAGACCCCAGTTCTGCAGTTACGCTGAGTCATATTGACTTACATATCTTACCTCACCCTTGTACAGTACGAACTTCTTTACCTCAACATTTGCAACCATTCAGAAAATGGCTTTAAACTGTGATTTGTCAGGGTGAAGCAACTGTGAACAGAATGTGCTAATTACAGAGAAGAGGCAAAAATACTTTTACTCTTTGTGGATTTATTACAAAGAAGAGATCACACAGTGCTGCTTGTTTGTACTGGTGTCTTGTAGTGTTTAATCACCTGTCCAACCTCTAAAAATAACTAAATGAGTAAATTAAACTTTTGAAAAGACTTGAGATCTGGAACTTGACTAAACTCTTTCTTGTAAGCTTTGGTTTATAAAAACCTGGTTTGTATTCATCTAACTTTTACAACAAGTAGTAGCTGTCTTGGTGAGTAAGTTGGTGAAATTACTCAACTGAAGACAACAATTCCACTCAGAGGTGTAACGTCTTCAAAGGCACTGTGAAAAAGATTGACACGACTAGTGGTACATAATGACAAGAAACCTCCTCCCTGCCTGGGCACAGTTAGTGAAAGGTTATTGTTTTCCAAGACATTTCAGAAAAAATTCTTATCTTCCACATCCTCAGAAGATTTTTTTTTTCAAACACTGTAAACAAAGAAATTGCTTTTCAATCAAAATGGAAATATGAACAAAGGGGTTACGCCTTTTCTTCATTTTTATCCCCCACTTTTAAGAAGAAAGTCACTGAAAGAGTGAAAAAGTAATAAAACCAGTAAGAGAATGATGACTTTAGCACACAGGCAAAGAAAAAAACTACATAAAACTAAAGGAATTCAACTAAATATGACTGAGAATTTTGGGAAATAGAAAAGCCTCTCTCATGTTCCTGTTCACAGCCAAGTTTTTGCAAGTATGTCCCTTCGCATCTCTATTTTCTGCTGTGTCAGTCTGGATCCTTCTTGTTCCTCTGGCACAGCAGATCTACGAATACAGCCAGTTTTGCAACAAACCAGATGATAAGGTAGGAATTTCTACATTTGCCAGTTTCAGGCCCCGAAACGCGAAACGTATTTCAAAACTCTAACCTGTACGTGGTATTTGGAACGTAGACATCCCTGGCAGGAAACTCCAGGATTTCTCTTGTAGGTCTAACTCTGCTGTCTGGGTAAAGTTTGACTTGCAACAGCTCTGGAGTTAGACAGTAATGGGGATTCTCTGGAGCTGGAGAGATGTCTATCTTTAACTGAGCTGTAAAGAAGAAAATGTTTTTATCACAATAAATAGAAGGTAATTTAAATCAAAAATCATACTCATGCTTTGTTTCTTCAGGTTAATATCCTATATAATATTTTCATAAATAAACAAATGATAAGTTACAGTCAGTGTGGATTTGTTAAAAAACAAGCAACAGTGAATCAAACTGGTATTTAAGGCAACTGGGGTACCAGATAATAAGAAGCAACAGAAAAGATGTATCTTAACAAGTCCCAAATGCTGTTCTCATAGGCAAGTTGGGGAAATACAGTCTAGCTAATGCTACTGTGAGGCCCAACTATTGTTAGAAACAGCACCCAAAGTCTCCTCAGGAATCTTGCCCATGAAACTGGAAGGCTACATCAGGAGCTGCTGCAAGCTAATCTGCACCAAGATTACTGGGTATTTTCCTCAGCAAGTGAGCTGATTGTACTGACAGCACACTGACCCGCTGGTGAACGGCACTGAGCCTGGAATGACTGTAAAAATTTGGGAGATGGGAAAGTCGGAGAAATGGCATCAAATGACTAAACATAATAGAGAGCAAAGGCCATCTTCAAAGCCAGGCTGGATGAGGCTGGGAGCAGCCTGGGCTAGTGGAAGGTGTCCCTGCCCATGGCAGGGGGGTTGGAACTAGATGATCTCTAAGGTCCCTTCCAACCCAAACCATTCTGTGATTCTATGACTTCCATTAAGAAGAAGCAGCCAAACATAAAAACATTTAAGAAAAAAAATAATTGGCACGGATCAATTTTGTAGAAAAGGGCTGGGTGAGAGCAGCGACAACATGCCAGTGTCCAGAAGAAAGGCACAACCATCCCAAGACGTATCAGTGCAGCATCATGGGTAAGACACTGGAGCCAAATCCCTCTGCTTTGCTTGGCACAGGGTCTCAGGAGGAGCAGCGTACCCAGTTTAGAGCACCGTGCTCAAAGAAACTCCAGCAGAGAGTAAGAAAACCACAACCAATTTTAAGATCACCACCTTTGAGAAAGGGCTGAAAACACCTGAGACTGGTTAGGCTAGAAAACGGAGGCGAGAAGGAGTGAACTAATAACAGCATTCAAGTACTTGAAAGGTTGGGATAACTGCCCTGAGGGCATGACAGACCATAATCAGATTAATCTGCAGCATGATCATTTTGCAACGTTGTCTTCCTGCTTAAACTCACTGCAAGGACAGCCGAGCGCCGGGAGAGACGGCCTAAGGAAGCGGCAGGATTGCTGTCACTGGAGATTTTTAGGAACAGGTGAAGTACATATTGTCCGGAATAGCACAGGCCAGGGACCAGCCATGTTTCGCTGCTGGTGTGCCAGCATTTTTACTTCCCTTTCTCAACCAGTGGTGGAATCTGTTGCTAGTAGCCAAGTGGGTGCCAGGAGAGAGCTCCTCTCAGCTAGAGAGAGGTAATTTACTGAGGAGAACAGAGGTTCCTCAGCCTCTGCTGCGTTTAGGGCTTTGGGATTTGCATCTTCTCACAGATGCCACTCTCGGTGTGACAGGAGATGCATGGGCACACATGCCAGTGAGAAACCTGCCAAAATGCCATCTTTAGTGCTGGCAGTCTAGCAGGGATTGCTGACCATGACTTCTTAGGGTTTTTCATCGGCTGACTTAGAAGAACTGGGTGGCAATTGGGAAGGACCAACCAAGTACCTGAACACGTGAGCCAAAAAGATCTCGTTCAATACCTGTGATAGGTCTCAGTCTCCGCAAGACTGACGATGGCCGCCTCATGTCAGCAAGGAACTTGTACAAATCTTCATCGCTCAGGCGATCGCCCTCCTGTTGGATGTCGGGAGGAAAATGGTTACCTTCAGGATTGCAGGAGAATGAATAAACCGTGTAACACTGTAGTCTCTTTCCTCTGACATCGAAGTGTACCTTCCCAGAACAAGGTGTTACGATTAACATGCTAAATTACAGTTCATTTCTCCATCCTTTTTCCTTATTAATCATCATGACGGCTGTGGGAACTTCTCATTGAAAACCTTTTCTCTCCTCATCAATATTATCTTTTTCAAAACTGAGAATGGCTGTTAAAAGGCTTCCCCAAAATATCCAATTTTTAGCAAGTATAATAGTTTGAAAAAGTATCCGTCATTCAGGCAGTGATGCTCGTTCCTTCTCCTCTGCCTGTGTCACTGAGACCCCAGAGACACCACTCCCAGAGCCCAGTTCCAGTCCTACTGAGTTTCATGAAAGCAGGGCGCACCAGAGGCACGAGTCACCCTCACTTACATGGTTTGCACCCGTATAACTTGGTGCCCTTGATGACATTTCTCCCTATTTACACTGCTGCAATGAAGGGCAGACTTTGGATGGCTACCCACAGTGAAAGTGGCACACAACCAAAACAATCGGAAAAAAAAAAGCTTAATCAACTTTCAATATACAGAATTTAAATCTCTGTATTCCCAATAATTGAGAAATCAGTCCCAAAAATATCTGGTGGTTCACTATAAAATCCCTTCTTATACATAAAGGTGACATTGAAATAACAATTTTCCCTAACCAGATGTGGCATTAAGCAAATTGCAGCAAAAATTAATGAACTGAAACCATTTTCTAAGCTTAACTAGAAATTTTATTTCACGTAATCACGGTCTATACTGTTTCTCAGGAAGATCCTAAGCTCTGGCTTAGAAGAGCTGCCACTCAGCAAAGCACCGCCAGAAGTGAAACGTTTTGTTTCCTCGGGCCTCCCTGGATGTGTCCAGGGAACTGATGCCAAATTGATGAACCGAGTTCTGAGCCTGCTGATGCTTCAACGGGATTCTCTATCACCAAACAAAACCAAGGGAGCCAACAGATCATCAGGATAAAGGCTATGCAACTCTTACACTAGGACAAATATCTGGAATGCTTTTTGGCACATACTAACCCAAAGAAGTTATCCTCAGTTTTTGTGAGCTTGGTCCTATGAGCGTTTTTCTAACTGTGTTGACCAGTGATTTTTCCATAGCATGTTAGAAAAATCTGGAGCAAAATAAACTGATATTCTCCTGGGGAGACCCAGTTCTATTAGCTAGAGTAGTTAATCCACGACGCCATACTGACACTTTATCATTCAAGTCAAAACAAGCTAATAATTTCAAACTCCATAACATAATTATTCACAGTAAACTTACTAAATGACTTCACCAATCGACCCACTGCTGGCAGAATTAAGCACAGGATGTAATAAACCCACTGCACGCGGTTCAAAGATACCCTGTGATGATCAGGGAAGAGGCATTATATGCACTGAAAGCATCACAAATTAATCATCTGGGTCTAAACTGACTTCACACAATCAAATCACTCTGCCCAAGGAGCAACTCCTTAATTAAAGAGCTTCATACAGTACCTGTTTGAAGAAGTTTGTCACTGTCAGAGTAGCTGGTCTAAAACTGGTCAAATTGCAAGCCTCATCCCCACTGGTGGTCCTCTCTAAGGAACGCCTCCCGACAATACTGGAATTCCGCCTCTCCGACCACGACCCTTTTCGTTCTTCAAAAAATAAAAAGGGAGAGGAATTAAAAAACAAAAGAGAAGAGAAACAATTGTCCAAGAGCCTACTTTTGTTCCAACCAGGATTTTCCGCAGAAGGAGATAGCTGCTGCTTTTGGAAATTATGCAATAAGCGTGATAGAAGAGGTGGTTATGCTAAGACAATCACACTCCTGAGGCATCGGGAGGCTATGAAGCACAGCTGACTACTTCTGCTCCTCTCCCAGCAACCTCACCCCAGCGCCTTACTGCTAATATAAAAGTCTTTATCATGGGGAGATTTATGTATTTCTCTTGCTCCGAAAGATGATGAAGTTGGCAGTTTTGGGGATGCTGAAGAGCAGTTTCAGATGAGCTGTGCGGTTCACAAAGATTAATCCACTCCTTTGGAAAATGCTCATCAGCCTGTAACGCGCTCTCAGTCTTAGAAGCCTGGTTTTAAATAATATAACAGATGGTTTGCTTGTAAAATCCTTGCAAGATAAATCCATTTGTTACCATGGACTTTTCTGTTTTATTTCAACCATGACCCAAGACTATCAGAAGGCCTAGGGCAGGGGGAGGAAGGCGATAAAAGGAGCAATGGTGGATAGAGAGCACGAATCGAGACTTCAGTAAATTCTGCATTTGTCCACATTCCCTCACGCAGATGCCAGATACCGTACCTCCTGCACCAACTTCTACTTCTGTGGAATCTCTTTCCAAACTTCCAGCGCTGCTCACGATGTTCATTAAATGAATGGCTGTCCAGGCAAAAGGCATTCGATACTTGCCTAGTCTTTGGCAAAACTGTTCTGCCTGGCACTTCAGTTTTTCCAACTTCTCCTTATTCTGTGAAGAAAAGATTCAGTCCAAGAGATTGATTCCAATAGAGGAATAGGAACAAAGGTTTATTTAGCAGAACCAGAAGTAATGATGGTATGTTAACAATGACTTCGTGCTTCACTAGCACCTTCTAGAGGAGGATCACGAAGTGCTGGGCAATCAGACTTCTGCTTCCCGAACCTCCCCCAGTGCCAGGAATGGGACAGCCGGAGTCAGAGCCGCTGGTGTCGACCCAGAGCCCCCGAATAGCCTGTCAAGTCCCAGTGAGCTCATCTGCACACTGGGCTCTCACGAAAAACTGAATGGTACTCTGTGAAGTCTGAAATGGGCCTTCCTAATGCGGTTTTATACAGCAGGTGCTCAGATCACCTGGAGTTGCAGGGGAAACTGAAAACGTTCCTCAAAGCAGCATCATGCTCATTTTATTGAGGAAAGAAAGGAGTAAGGGAGGACTTTTCCATAATTCTGCATATCAAAGGGCAATTTTTCACTTTGGAAAGGTTGTTGGCGACAAGCCTGTAAGAATTTCCCAGAGAGGGGGATGGGTAACAACAGAGAGCGCTCCCTTGCTCACATTCTTCTAGTTCAGGACCTGCTTGTGCACCCTGCTGGGAAGGAGACCCTGGGGGAAAAATTAAATCACCTTCTCACCTACATTCCCAAGCATCTTGCAAATCCAATTCCAAAATTTCACCTAGGCCCACAGCCATTTGTGGGTCACAGGAAATGTAGTTTTTTACTTTTGTTACCTCTACCTGAGATGAAAGATGGCAAATTCCCCCATTGTGGAGCAGTGATATAAAGACAGAGATAGACAAAAATATGTGAACTCCTTCAGCTAAAAGTATGTTAGAACTTTAGGAAAGCAAAATTTTGTTAGAGTTTGAGCAAAAGTAACAAAGGCACATCCCTGCTCCTTTGAAAAACGCATAATGGAAAGGCTCACAATCACAGGAAGGGCTGGCATCTCTCTTTTTATTCCTTCCTTCAGTCCTCACTATCACCTTTCTACGTTCACTCAGGGAGAAAAGACTGAGGAGAGGCCATAGTCCAGGTGCCTCTGAATTCTGCAGATCCCACCAGCATTCCTGTTTGCTCCTCAGCATACCAAATCTGCAATTCCCACCCAGACTCTGACAGACTTCAACAAGGAGCCAGCTGCCAACTGCAGGGAATGAGATGGCATTTCTCTGCGGGGAAACCTCAGCTTTTGGTCCTGAGCAAAGGGCTTCTACAGCAAGGAGACAGGCTGCATTCAAACACGCATGGGAAGCCAGAGTCACTCAAGCTGGGGCAGGTCCCTGCCTTCCACCGCACTTAGAGGACAATGCCCAAAGGGCTGAGGGCAGGAACTAAAGGGACGTTGTTAATGGAAAAAAAAAACCCCGCTAAAGTATAAAATTTTAAACCTACCCTTACAGGTAGGACACCTTTATCCCTGCTGTTGAGTGTGGCCCTTCTTTACAGTATTAGGAACAAGAAAAATCAGCAGAAAATAACATCAAAAAAGAGCCAGAAACACACTGCCATTCACAACCAGGCCTGCTGGAGAATCTCCTGTGAACATCTCCCATTCACTCTGTAACCCTTCTAGAGGAAGGCAGAGGGGTTCTGATGGAGTTAAGTTGCAGAAGCAACAGAAAAGTTGAAGCTTTACTGCAACGTGAAGTCAGAGGCTGTCGTCCCTGGCCCCAGCCATAAGCACATGGCTGACCCTGTGGGACAGGGACTCCAAGATGACTGAGCCTGACGGTAACCACCCGTCTCCCCTGACGGCTGCAAAAACGATGACCTTTAACTGCTCTACCCCAATAAGGCATCAAAATTCCAGAGTCTTTGATTCTTTGGCCTTTAGAATTTGGCTAGATTCCCAATTAAAAAAGGATCTTTTTAACAACAGAAACAGTATCCATGGCGGCTAAGTCCAAGGCAAAATAAAAGAAACTTATGTTTAATTTGTTAACAACACGCCTTAGAGTGTTTGTAGTCAGATTTCATCAAAACATTGAAAGAATCTTACCTTTGCTGCATCAGATTCTTTAAAAATCATGTAAGGTTCTGCACACTCCCCAATATCTCCCTGCTGTAATACTTTTTCCAACTGAGAAGGGAAAATGAACCATTATAAGGACATGTATCCAGCAAGGACTGTTAAATTAAACAAACACTAGGAAGCAAAAACATCCTTTTGAAAGAGTTAAAGCTCGATTTCCCTTCGTGAGTCAGGGAACAAGCACTGCACTCAAGTTGTTAGAGCCATTAAGTTCCCAGATCTCCAGCTATAACTGAATCACACATGTAAAATATAGGTTCAAAGGGAATATCTACCACTTCACTTAGGTTTGATCTGTTCTAGAGCCACTTTTGGCTCATTTCTTAAGGTCTTAAAGGCAGCTTATACTGTCTTCAGCATCATCATTTTCGGAATCCTCTTCTCATTTCTGTTCTCCACATTAAGGACCTATTGCAGCTGCAAAAAAGGCCACTCAGATGCACCCAGCTAAAACAAGCACTGTTTTAAATCAGTGTGTTTTCAAATCAAATACTAAAATAATCAAATAATTAAAATTAGTCAAAGAGTAGATGTGTGCTTCTGAAGTCCCCAAGTCAGTGTTTCTTGAATACAAAATGCTTAACACTCAGTTTCTAACAGAAACACCTTCCCTATCACACACGAGAGGCCTGTTTCTTTCAGAACCATCCTGGCCCTCCCTCCCACGCTACTGTGCACATGCTGTTACTAGGTTATCTTTAAACTTCTCCCATGCTTATGAAGTGCCATTCATACTTGTTTATTAGTAGAACCCCAAAGCCTCCCACAATATAAAGAACAAAGCCACTTTCCATCAAATCTTGCGCTCCCCAGTGAGTTTATGCTACCAGTACCAGCTGGCAGAAAAGTGGTTTCCCAGTGAAACCCAGGTGAAAATTCACCCAGGAAGACACGCTATGCATCTGTCTTATTTATCCCCAACCATATCCTTTTCATCATCAAATCAAAAACCACCTAAGCCACCAGCTCCTCTTGGATCACTGGTTTTACAAGCACTAATGTGCAGTCACAAGCTCTTTCGGACAGTTTCTCATCTCATAAATATGGGGTTCGCTCTTCCTCACATCGTGTAAAAATCAGAAGAGTGAATGTGTGCACACAGGCAGAATGTGATTTTTAGAAGGAATTCAGAGAATCCTATAAAAAATTGGAGATCAGAATACGCTCCAACACCACAGAAAGCCTCATACTCACCTGGGACTGTTCGTCATGCCACAAAGCCTTAATTCATTTCCAAAAGCTGATTCCTCATGTAAGAAGCAGTTCGTGAAGAACTTGCCCAAACCTCAGTCAACAGGGTTCTCAAAACACAGCACTCAGCTGGCAGGCAATGAAACCACTGCCTGTGACCCAAAAGCATGTGCTGAACTCCTTTTTTTATAACAGCATCATTTTTTACACAGAGACCAGCCAAAAAAACCTTACTCAAATGCCAATCTGAGCTAGTAACATTTGGGCGCTCACTGAACCACATGAAAGAAGAGAAAATAACTTTTATCTTTGTATACTTTATTCCAGGAGTGACCAACGTGGCTTTGTATTTCAGTTATGGATCTCACTCTCTTAGCCATTTCAATTTTTGAAGACGTTTGAAAATCTGGTTTAAGGGCAATGTATCATTTTTGGAATGAGATTCAGATCAATATATATTTTTAAATCGCTCGCTTATCTATCCTCTTCAGGAGTCAGCACGTTGTTTCACGTGAAAAACAAGGTCAAGCCCCAGAAAGCTGCTCTATATCAAGCAAACCTTTGTGCTCTTCCCAGTTTTTCAATAATACAACAACGCGTATCTCCCCTGAACTGCTTCTGTTACAGAGGAACTTCATGTACTCAGTCAGAATATCTGAAATTAAACAGAATTTATGCTTTGGAGAATAGAATTCTGCTCTCCAAATGCAAATAAGAAGTCACCTAGTCAGCCAGAGGTTTTTACACTTTATTTTAAATAGAAAACAAGAGCCAATAACAGCTTAAGTTCCTGGCATTTCTCACCTTTATTACCAGGAAGACATCCTGAGAGGGGTAGGTGATAGAAAAGATGGCAGATCTGGCCAGCGTGGATATAGCTGCCGGGGGCACATGTGGACGAAGCATTCCCTTCATTTGTTCCGAGTTTAAGTCAAAGTAGAAATTCTCTGAAATCTAAGGAAGACGTTGGGTAGCTTCACACACTAGTTATACTGTATATTTTTGGTGAAATCTTCATAAACACAACAGACAGCTTCAAAACACATGTAAAAAAACTACCAACAGTGCCTCCTTTCAGACCACGTATGAAAAGAAACACAAAAGGGCCTCTTTGTTAAGAAGTCAAGGCGGTGGGAAAGGAGCAAACAAAACATGCTACCTATAAGATTTCCTCCAGCTCCTGTAAGGAATGCGGTTCCATCACAGGACTAGGAACTACAACTGCTATCTGAATTGAAAATACTGAGGTATCAAAACAGAAAACGACCTTTAAGATCATTCACAGAAAAATTAAAACCAACACATCTTGAAGGACAGCCTAGCTTTCTACGCTGAAACACCAAACCCTCGACTGCGTCAAGGTTTCCCAGCCAAAATGAACGTGAGCTGGTTACCGACAGCAGAGGTCACTACAGAACTTAGGTTAGAGGGAAAAAAATGGAGTAATGAGATGATAAAATTGGCTTATGAAAGGTGATTTAAATATTAAACAAAGTTCACATAATATTCCACATACTCTCATCTACATAACTTAAAACTCAATGCATTAAATCCAAGTCTTAGAGATTAATGTCAAAATGCATATTTTTAACATTTTTCTCTCTACTACTGCTAATATCTTGAATTAGAAAAACAAAGAGACTCTTCAAATATTAAATACAGAACATAAACAGGGAAATAAATGCATTTTGTGTTTCCTATAACCTAGATCTTGAAACGACTCTTCGGTTTTGGTTTCATTTTAGCAATTTCAGTATGTATGACTTTCTTGTGCATTATTAAAATGTTACTTGGACACATACCATGCTGAATCACGAGAAAGAGATTAAGAAAGTCATAAAAACTTAATCTAAATAAAAGGTTTCAGTTATTAAAGTTCTCCCTGGGGAAGAGCCTTCTGAAAGCCAAGATTGAACAATATATATAGTCTGATTTCAGGCACTCACATATCAGATAATATTTTTAGAAAGGTGGTTATACTTCAACTGTTTTACTAAGCAGAAGAACACACGAAATGCCTTCACCGTTCTTTCAACCACTAGTGAGTCACGGTCTTCATAAAGGCTTGTTTCCAGAATATATTCCCTTTTTTTAATACAGGTCTGCAATGTCTCAGTGGAAACATCATCACTCAGGTAATTAAAGACCTACCTTTTTCTTTTCTTTAACATCATACAAAGCCAAACTTGCAAAAATGGGCTCAATTTCTATTTCAAATCTGAAAGAAAGAAACACACAAAATCAGTTGACTTGCATTTTGTACGAAAGACTGACCCACTCCCACCCCAAATCCTCCCGGGGTAAGGTGGCAGCTGATGTCAGGGATAGCTGAGCCCACCTAAGGGCTTGCTCCTGCCAAAAGGATTAGGGTTAGGGTCTCGCTTCCCAGTTTTCCCCCCTCTCCTCTCCTGCCCTGCTTCCTCTGCATCGGCTCTGCTCCCTTCCCCCAGAACTCGCGTTGGTGCCCCCTGGACCTTCTAAACGCCACTTCAGCTCGCTGACCCAACAGCGGTTGGGATTAGGGTCACGGGACACAAAGCGTGCTTCTCTAGGTGCTTATACGTCTGCTTTGAAAGCGCAAAGCAACCTAATAGCTCCCTTACAGGGAGAGGAATTATTAATTGGGATAGCCGGGCCACTTAGCTCCTCTGATTACCCTGAGAAGCCGTGCCATGGGCTAACTGACTGCTGACCCGCTGACAGGGCGAAATGGCCTGCTCCTCTCAGCATTACTGACCAGAAAGCTCCTTCCTCTGGAGAGTCAGGGACAGCTGTTTTGGCAATTTTCAACATTTACCTTTTGCCAGAAAACACCAACATCTCAAACTCTCTCAGAAAGGGGTCAGTTTTTCAGAGCACCCGTGACCAAGTATTTGTGCTATGTGAAGCACGTCCAATGAAAACACTAGCCTACCAGAGCTAAGCTTACTGCTAAATCACCTGGGACGTTAAAGAAATTAAAATATATTCAAAATCTGTCCCTGCTCCAAAGTGAGCAGGGGCTGAAATGCCATCCTGAAATGCCATCCTCCTGTTTCACAGCCTGCCCGTGAAACAACTGCCCAATCCAGGCTGGGATAGCCCCACGCACCCAGTCCTCCTCGCACACAGCTCTCAGCTTTTCAGCCTGGGATTCTCTCTGCCAACGGGGAGAACAACATCCAGGACTGCATCAAACAGGTATTTTCTCTAGTTTTGCAACAAGGGTGAGATTAACCCAAAAATGACCCTGCTTATGCCATTTTAGCCCTCTCCCTGGGGAAGAGGCTAAGACAGCACAGTCTTGGATGCTTGCTATTACCCCTGTAAGTACAGTTTCAGAGATTACTTTGGTACACAAACAAGCATGTACTTGGGCAGATTTGCCATAAATTTACAGTCAGGAAGGGATGCTTAAATAGCAGAAAATGTTAATTTCCAGCGTCTAACTTATTTATGCTAAAGACACCATCCTTTGGAGAGAGAGCTCCACTGCTGCTGCGTATTATGTTGTTCCAGTTCATAAAAGGCTGCAAAATCAGTTCATCTCTATGGCTATATTAGGTCCTGAAGTACTCTACGAGCAGGAGATATGTCCCACACATATATCTCAGTTATGAGCCGCAATGTAGTCTAACTGGAGCTCTCTAATAAGAAGGGTTGACCTAACTGAGGACACAGAAGATGAATACAGCAGTGTGGAAAATCAGTTTTGTACTTTATTTCTCCAAGGGAATAACAGTAAAATTTTACCTTGTGTTATTAGAGAAGAGTTATAGGCAATGAACCAGCTGCAGGTAACCCTATATTCAGGAGCTCCACTTCATTAAACTTGTTTAACAGGTTTCTATTCCTCCAGTTAATGCTTGCTAAGTATATAAAGTCTTCCCTCTTAAAGGGACATAGTCAAGGTTGTTGAGCCTAAACTTTGGCACATCTTTGGTTGTCTTATGTTTTAAGGCTTAAGCATTTTTAATCTTTATTTCCACTCACACACACTTAAAAATCCCCGATACAGAGCTGAACAGCAGTGCCTGACCAACTGCAGAGCCCTGACTGAGCGCAGCGAAGCACGCGTGCCAGTAATGTGGAACAGGTATAGCTACAGAGGGAAAAGCAACGCAGAGAGAAGCCAAGGAAGGTGAATACTTTCTATGTAACACCACTAAAGGAAGTCTTGAACATAAAACTGTCTGATGCACAGTACTGTGTAACTTATCCTTTATAGAACTAACCTTTAAGCCCACAACCAACCAGTGTTAAAACCCTTCAAGGGTAATAAACAAGGCAGCAGAGTCATCCAGATGCACATGGAAACAACAGCAGATTGAAATTCTCGATGTCTGTAAAGCAGCTGTGTGTTGGAGCGATACTTACTTAAGGGACAAACACTTCACCAGGAGTCTTTGGCCAAAGTGTTCTTTGGGTACTTCAGGGACACTAAGTCGTTCTATAGGCTCCTCCTGAAATTCGTCACAGAACAGCAATTTAGAGACGCGACACTTGTACAAACCGCTAATACCATGGTGAAGCAAACCCCTATCACTTTTTTCTTCCTAAGACACCAGCACCAATTTAATCTGAGGCTTACCAGCACGTTGCATTCAGCAGCAGCTATAAATATGCTAAATTAAATCCCTTTAATGTTTCTACATTATAGGGGATTGCATAACCATAAAGGAAAACCAATCTTCAGGAAGTAATATCTGTGACAAGACAATATGCGAAAAAACATGCGACCCACAAAACAGCCAAGGCTCTCATGGATATTAAACATGGGTGATTTTAACTCCTTCACATTTGTGGCAGACTGGCAGTTTTCACATTCCCTATATCCTTCACTTCTTTAGTCTAACCCACATGTATATAAAAATACCTCCTCTGGGGCTGGGTGCAGTGCAAAAAGCTCCTTGTGCCTACTGGACTTCCTCTGGTCCTCATTGTGGTGGTCGATCTCTTCATTCGGGGTTCGGTCCAGCAGGTTTGGGAGAAGGGCATCTGGGAGGGAGTTCTTCAGATCAAAAATACTGCATGCCCAGCTGCCCCGGGGAGTATCGTCGATCGACATTGAACGTCGTTTAAGGTCGTCCTGAGATTCAACAAATTAAAAGCAACTTATAATGGGAAAGGGACTGCACTTTTAAAATGCGACTATAAATTAGGTTTTATGCAGCAAGGTTTTAAAGGTACATTACTTGTTCATCCTGGTAACTGTTGCCATCTGGAGCTTCATCAGACTCAAAGATCTGTTTGGGGAGTCCCTTTTGCCTCTCCTTCTGTTTGTCTAAGGTGTTGGGATTAAATCCAGTTCCCAGCTTGTGATATCTGAAAACAAAGTATTTCAAATGCATTTTTAACATCATTTTTGACCACAAACCCAGAAGCAGAATTACAGAACAAACCCAGTATTATCAGTGTGGGTCCTCTCAAAGCATAAAATGCTCTCTGCAAACAGTATTTCCAGTCACCATCCACCACTGTGGCTGGGTAATAATCTAACAAACAGTATTCCAGTACTACAATGTGACTCTGTTCAACTGGTGATGTCAAAAGTGTTATCAATGGCCAATTAAGTTTATCATAAAACGTGCGATTGTGATGCCAAGCTGAACCCAGGGCAAGAGCATGAGGACTGAAGGCCAGTGGTTCTGCTGCAGCAAGAACTGACCTGGAGCAAACAATATCAGTAACTTGAAAACCAAAACACCAACTTCAGGTAAGACTGCGAGAAGCGCAGAGGTTCTAAGCACCTCTGGAAAACAAACAGACTTTCTGACCCCAGCTGAAATAAGTAACTTCCCAGAGCTTTTTTTAAGCAGAACTGGGTCCTCCAGAGCTTTCCAAGGTGTCAGAGCGGTTGCTAGTAAACAGTCTGTCTACTGCTGCTGACAAGATCAGATCGCTTTGACTCACAGATTTTTGGATACCAAATGGCACTGCGTCTGTATTTACACACACATATGGCCAGAGCCGCAGTCTCCTCACAGCACGCACTCGGCCCGAAGTAGTGCTGGGGTCACATCTAGAATTAGTTGTTCTTATCCCGCCCTGTCCCTGAAGTTACCACAGAAGGATGCACAGACATGTGAAAACCATGGCCAGTGAAGAAAACTTATTTACCTTTTCCAACACCCTTAATCACTGAACGGATGGATTTTTCTGCCCCAAAAAACCATTTTGGTTACAAAGAACTGTAGACCGAGACTGAAATAAAGACTATTTCCCATGGGGTGGGGGAGAGAGAGGGATGCCACACCAGAAGTCATGTTCTTCTAAAGCTAAAGAGCTGGATTTTTTGCCCCCTGAGCTAGTCAAAGCACTGGTAACCACCCAAGAGGATGGATTAAGAGAAACTTGTTACCGACCTTTCTTGAGACACAGTTCCATCCTTCTCAGCCAGGCTTTCGGGCTCTTTGCCTGCTTCAGCAGTAACCCTTCCATTTCTACCACTGCCATGATTATATCCAAGTAAAAAGTGCTATGAATGTTTATGGAAGTCCCTCTGCTCCCCTGAAGGGGCAAGGCAACCTTTGACTGTAGTTCAGTAATCACTCATCACACCCTCCACCCACTCAGGCAACTCTGATGCAGAACGCAACCTGCAGCTAATCTGCACGGGACAGAAAGCTGTACCGTCTCCAACTAAACCTCCTCAGGGCAGGAATCACAGCCAGGAGTTCCAGATACCAGCAGAAGTTGATGAGAAAGCAAGAGGTGTGCTGGCTCAGGTGACACCGTCCAAACCTACTGCGTCTTCTAGACTGTGCCCACAAAGGCTGGGAGTTAATAAGGCATCTCTCTCCCATCTTATTTCTGGGGTTGGGTTTTTTTGGTATGAGATTACAAACCACGTTTTTATTAGGTCATCTTAGCACTGCAAAGCCTATCTCCAGCATTCCCTGAAGTGGTTCACAGGACAACATTAAACCAGTGAATTGCAGCAACTGCCACGAGGGCAGAGCTGTAGCTGTAGTCAGGTCGTTTGTAGGTGATGCACATCACATGGATCACTTACTCCTTGACAGCAGCTCTTGAAGCCAACAGGCTTTCATCACCCAACAGAGGAAAGCTACTCAGAAAACTTCCTGCTAATTTGCATAAATTAATCAATGCATGCACATTCTCTAAACTATTAACCCAGTAGGTAAATGTTGTGATAGCCCAAATATTAACAATTATTTGTTTAAATTACGTACTTTCTCAGAGTCTCTCTGGGAACAAATGAATGCTGCAGAAGGCTCCTTATCTATTAGGGGGTTGTACCTGCACATAAATCCTACTTTGTTACAAAACTAATGCAACTTCTCTCTCAAAAGAACTAAAAACATATGGAACAAAGAAAGAAACCAATGCTGCAGTTAGTTTTACTAGTTTGCATTCCCTAATTTCTCTACCATTCTAAAGGAGCAACTGTGGACTAAAATGGCCTAGATTTTCAGAAATGCCCCAAGGGGGTCTGAGATCTGATTTTCAAAACACAAAGCATCAGTTCAGCTAAACACAAATGATCAGTTCAGCTGAGCTGGGCAACCAAAAGCCAGGGCACAGGGAATCTGTAGCCCAGACAGTAATTTTTGAGCCTCATCATACCAGCTAGTCATCCTGCGAAAATGTAAAACTGAAATCAAGCTGAGAGATACCACAGGGGAACTCACTTTCTGTTCACAATCGCCCAGTCTTCCGTGTAGCTTCTTACACAGTCCCTCACGTGAGGGTCCATCTCACTGTTGAAAGAATAAAAACAACCAACCTTCAAATTCACAGACAGGACAATGACATCTTAAACACACACACTTCCGCTTCCGTTTGTATTTATGCTTTCAGGCGTTTACAGACAAAAATCCCAGGCTTCAGCCTCGCAGGGACTCAAATTCAGAACAAGGGAGCCCTTGGGCGAGGTGTCACCCTGTCCCCTCCTACCTCTCTTCGGGCACGGCCGACACAAGCGTTCGACATTCCCGGGGGGTGTACACCACCTCGATGTCATCGGGAGGAAACTCCAGCAAGTCTCGCAGGGGCCCCGACTCCACTGTGATCGGGTGTGTAATAAGGTAGTCCTCCAGCTCAACCGGGTCCACTGCTTCTGTAAGCGGCACCTGGGGAAAACAAAGCCATGGAAGGGTCTTAAAAGAGAGAAAGAAAAAGACTGAATCACATGCACCTACTCCACCTGGGTTTTTAAACCAGCTCTTCTGCCTTGCTGAGGAAACTTGATCTAACATCAGATGACAATTAACCCTACTGGTGTCAGTCTCAGCTAACACACAGCACATAGTTATTTTTCATGTCTTACCTTTTACCTGATTATTTCTCAGAATATTTCTATGATGCATGCCATCATCAGCTCAAAAAAAAAAAAAAAATCATCTATTCTCAAGAAATTCAGTAGTTTGCACCAAAAGAAAATCTTACACTTTATTTCCCATGTGTATTTCTTTTACCACGCTGCTGCCCTGATGACAAAGGGAAGCTTCACCCTGATGCAAGAACCCTCCTACCCTCAGGCACGACCCCCAGGCAGGAACCCAGCGCTGATTTACCAGGAACTCACAAAGCCACAGAACTCTAAAGACTAACATTATTTCGCATTAAATCACTTCTCTGGGGAACATAAACCAGTGTTCACCCACCACGGGTACAAGTTTAACCACCTCTGCTCCCTGCTATTAGGCCCCGACACCCATACGCCAGGCCACTGCTGTAAGGAAAACGGCTGCTTAGCAAACGTCTGTGCCGGGCACAAAGCTTGTGCCCAGAGCCCAAGGAATGACGGAAAAACACACATGCAGGAAAACACTGGATTTGACCAGCAGCCCTGATCTCACCATACTGAAAAAAGAGCTTTTTTTAGGTACATGAAAAAAAATAAACCAGATGCATTCTAACATTGCATAACTGGGCGGTTTTACATATGCACGTTAAATAAACACATATATATATTCTGATATGAGATCATTACCCTGTGAGGCTTGTCACTTGTCTCTACAGCAACTGACAGATTTCCTAGAATTCCCTGGCACATCCCAGCGAGGCTGAGTGTTTAATCCAAGTTACAAACACACATCAAAATTCAGCCACTTTTCTCTACTATTTCCTCTTCCCTGTCATTCAGACAGTTTCTGTGGGACAGGGAACTATCCTGTAGCTTTTCTTTTGTTGGTGATGACTTTAAAAAAACAGTACTTAAGTTTTAAATGTGCTTCTCAAAAAAATTGCAAGACCAACCTCAAATCCCAGATTTTAAACTTCTACTGCCAAAAAGCTGTGAAATGAATCAACTTGTTATTCAAGGAAAAAGACTTGGCTAACACAGGGGGTATTGAAGGAATCTCTCCTACCACAGCCAACTTCAATGAATACTGCAATTTACTTAAACGCAGAAGGCAAACCCTTCAGCAGAGAAATGGCGTGACTCCAACCAAGTCAGGTGACTTGGACCACGTGACTTTACGCCAGATCAGAATCTGGTCCACAGCAACATATGATGTCTAGAAACTCAGCACTGAGTTCTGCAACTCAGGTATAAGGTACAAATGCATTTCTGTGTAGACACGCACCACCATCATCCATTTATCTCTCACCCCACAACCTTGTTTCCCCTTTTCATCCTGAACCCTGGAAATGAATCTGAAGTACGTGATATGGAGAACTTCTGCAATTACCAGCCAGACACTCTGCACTCTTCTCCTCGCTGCTGAACTCACAATGAGCAGAACTTGCCGTTGCTCTTTCCCACGCTGCAGTCAACATGTCACCACCTCGCACCTCCGTTGCTTACGGATAGACCAGCTCCATGTGGCAGCAGGTTAAGCGACAAAACGCAGAGCAGCGAAGCCTGGGGGTTCCTTACTGAGGAACCGCTAAAAGCACATGTTTTCAGAAGAACTGCAGCATATTGCACTGCGTGCATGTAACCCTTTCCACCCACAGACCTCAAACCCAAGGCACAGAGAGCCCGCAATCGGAGACTCCTTGCAAATGAAGATAAAAACATCCAACTCCCTGGGCAAGAGCCACGGAGGCAGCGGGATGCAGAAGCGCTGGGTTCCGCAGGTCCCCTCCTTGCCAGCCCAAGCCCCACCCACACCCAAAGCAGCTCTGTGCTGGATGCTGGAAGTGCCCCACTGGAAGAGGGACAGAGGGTTATGGTACCCTCAGAGGGTGACTTAAAGCTGCTTAACCGACCCCATTTTTAAGTTTTAACATTTTAAGACATGTTTTTACCCCTCCTGCTGCCTCCCTTCCAGCGCATCCGCTGACCCTGCAAGTGTTGGGTTCCAATCCACACAAACTCATTTACCTGGGCATCTCTCCGGGCTAACAAAGAGGAACCATTTCCTCATTCCCTCTGATCTTTCTAACCCCTTCGTCCTGATAAACATAAACCACAGACAAGGAAAACACTGTATTAACGTGGAGGGGGATGTGCAGGACCGAGCAGATATAGGGCAGACACTGCCACTGCCCCAAACATGCCATGTTTCCCCTATTCCTGGCATTTTACATCCCAAATTTCACTTGTCCAACACTAGCACAGTAACGTACTGGACAAAGGCAGAACAAACTGGCTACGCTAGTAAAACCCTAACCCCGCAAGGCGGGCAGTGCTTAGGGGGCTACCCAACACCAGGTCCCTGCTCAAGGGGCTACTCAACACCGGGTTTGTGTTCCGGGGGGTTCCCAAACCCTTTGTACATCTCAGGATTAGGCCCAAGGTTGCACTTCACAATTCTCCAGTTTGTCTCTTCAGATAACTATTGTACCATGAAGATGTAAACAAACATAAAAGTCAAACCCAGAAGCCTGTATTAGACTCGCCATCTGTGCAGCCAGAAATACTGTCTAGCACCTGAGTAAACAGGCCAAACATAAATTCCTGGTTATGAAGAGGAACTACTTCGTGTCAGACTATTGGCAGATAAAAGGCAAGCACGTTATTTTAAGCTTTAGATATTTGTGGGGGAAGAAGTGATGAAAGTGGAGGAGGAATTAAGGATGAACAAACGCACCAAAAGGAAAATGAACCCAAGTGGTGTCCCCATGTCTGCACTGAATCACGAGAGCTCTCGCTGCTGATGCCTTAACCTTTCCTCCGTCCTGCATCCCTCGGAAGCTGTGGATGAGGCCAAGAACAGACACAGCATACAAGAGGCTATTCCTGTGTTATCTGCATCCTGGCCGAAGTCGCCCGAAATCGTCACATGAACCCATCAGATTGAACACGCACGAGAAGAGTCGGGCAAGGTTGGATAACCACCCTCATCATCCCGGCCTCACCGCTGCCCGAGGAGCAGAACCTGCTCCACCATCTCACATCCGGGTCCCCACACCTCTGCGTCTCCACACCTCCTCGTGGCACCAGGAACAACACTCCTGGCCTATTAGGACTGCAAGACTTCCTCAGTTTGCAGAGCTTCGCCCTCACCCTCGTGCACCACCCTGATGTCCAACTGATCTCCAGATTTTCACAGGAATAGCCAGTCCTGCTCTCAGCTGCATATTAAAAGGTTTTGAAATCTGCAGCAGGAACGAGGGAGCAGCTGAGGAGCTACAAAGCCGTCCTCTCCCACAGCCCTGCTCGCTGCCAGGCTGCAGACAGCATCTTCCATGCAACCTCCATCCTGCTTCCAGCAAACGCCTTTTCGATTCCTCCCCACAGCTCCTAGGAAGCAACTGTAGGCACCACCTCCATGAAATGCAGCCCGTTTTTCTTCACCACGCTTCCAAAGGCAGAGGGATGATCTCAGCCAAGGATTTGCAAGCGTGCAGTCCGCCTACCCACCGGGAATAAACCTAACGGGGGAATACTGGAGCGTTACTGCAGGAAATCATTGACAGGGTGTGTGTTTCTTCCAAGAAGAGTGTAAGGCCCTCCAGAAGCCAAAGTTCTACAAGAGCTCTGACCACCTTCCCAACCAGGACTATGGAATACTCTAAATTAATGGCAAACACACGCTAAAAATATGCAAAGGAAAGCCTGCTCCCAGAATCCAGAAAACACTCTGGTTTTGTGCAAACTGTAATTACAGATCAAATCTTGGACAACCTGACAGATAATTCCTTAAGATGGTTTCCACTCGGTCATTATCCCAGGATAACTGCCTCCTCACTCCGGGCAGGCGCTACTCTGGGGCTATGAAAATGAACAGGACTACACAGGGAGAATGGGGCTGCTCAGGGTGAGCAGGAGGGGCATTACCTGCTCCCTGCCAACGTGAACACCAAATACAAGGTACAGATAAACTGAAAGCACTGAGGAAATCACACAGGACCCTCCCTTTTTCAGACTGACACAGCCCAATTACCCCACATCAGACATGTCGCTTGCAAATAACAACTGTGTGCGTCTATGTCCTTAACCTGACCACAGGCACACACTCCGTCAGCTCAACCAGGACACCAGCCCGACTGATTTGGTTAAATAAACAAGTTAACACACACCCCCTTCCATAGGTGTAACTGTGCTGTGGCAGCTACAGCTCTCAGCAGCTGCATTAACAAAACCCTGTTTCAAAGGTTTACAGCTCCCCAGCAACGGGGACAGTCAAGCTTTCTTCTTTAAGGCTGTGTTATTCTTCACTCTTATATCCCCTTAAAAGTGTGAAAATAAAATTTCGTTTACTATCGACTTTGTCCTTCTCCAGACAGCAAACATTGTATTTTGCCGTCGTTTTAGTGCACTAGCGGAAACGTGTCTCTCCTATTTATTTCCTTCTTTGGAGCACCTACCTGTATCCTCATCAGTTACAAAAGAACTCCACGGAGGGTAACACAAACCCCCACTGACTTCAGCCGAGCATCGCGCCCGAGGAGGGCAAAGGGCACCGCGCTGCAAAGCTCGTGGCTTATTCCCCCCGCCAAGGAAGCAAACAAAATACAAAGGGCAGACCCGAGTGAGACCTGCTCTGTCGTGACACTGCTGAGAACAGGCGACGGCCATCAGCCCCCGCGTGCACAGAGCAGACCCCCCCGAGACGCAGGACCCCACAGGTCCCCGGGACCGGGGTTTGCCGAGCGGACAGCTGACGGAGAAGGCAGCGGCAGCCGTGCTCTGAGGGAGCTCAGCGAGCAGAAGCGAGCAGAAGCGAGCGGGGCA